TTAGCTCTCGTTGTTTGTTCCGCCGTGCGGACTTAGCCTCTGGTTGATCACTACCACCGTTTAACCTTGCTTCGACCTCTTTCGGGACAATGTGCTTGACACAGGTAAAAGTATGTGTGTGGACCTGCCTGCAATATGCACAAAAGTTGGCTTGGTCCTCAAAGTTTTGATCTAGACGTATGTTGTCGTTGATCATGTCCCAGTCGATATCCTGTAGATCGTTCTCCTTGCGCATATTGCGACCCGCATCATAGTCAAGATCTTGTCTGATAAGATTCTCAAGGAAAGACGTCAACTTCAGTCGGAAAGTCTCATCTTCTGATCCTCGAAGCGTCTCTGCGATCAGAGGTATGGAAAAACCCCCATAGAGCCAAATCAGACCATGCATGTGTAGAGAGTGTCTCTCATTTGTCTCAGACAACCCAATATAATGCTTCACGCGGCCAAAGATCGACGGCTCCCCGACACGGACATAGTGACGGAAAAAACACTCCATCTCCCTATGGAAGAATTGTGCTGCACTGACAGGGTCGCTGTTCGCCTGGACTGATGGTTGTAGTCCGTCTAGAACAATGCTATTAAAAAGCTGGGTTGTCTGCCGGTCGAAAAGACGATGGTTGCTGAGCTCAATACGGACAGGGTGGTCGATGTCGTTTGGGTTCACAGTGAACCACACTGCCGGTAATCCAGTCGAGACGCAGAACGATTCGATGCGTACCCTTGACCTCTGTCTAGCTTCCCTGGAAAACGGGTGCTTGCGACCAAAAACAGAAAGCTCTCGCAACAACGATGCCACTTCCCGATCAGTGGTCCAGCCGTTATCCTTCAACTCAGTACGGGCGCGCTCCAGTCGATCCCGGTCCTGTAAAATATCTCTGTGTAAAGTCATTAGACGGCTGTAATCAGTTCTGCGCATTCTTGCTGTACTGATTTGTCGGTTTGTCGAACGTAATAGCATATCAAATGCTAAAAAGGCGAAGGCTGGATGTGTTGCAAAACTTCCACCACTCTGGCGTAAAACAATCGCCAGCCACTGCCGGAGAGTAAGCCGCGGTGGGGTCAACACTACTCCATCCACGGGAACCATAGCCTGTGTTGATTTTGGCCCACCTAAACCACGCGGAAATAATACTGCGAATGTCTTCGCCCAGAAGTCTGGAGCAAAGCTGTCAGCAAAGCGACCGCTTCGACCAACGTTAATAAATGGCTCATAGCCTGTCCCATTCGACTGATCGTTTCCTGAGCTGGCCATTGAATGACCAGCTAAAGCGTCGCAAATGAAATCGAGCCGATCAGCCTCAGGATGGATCCCATCCCCTTCTAGGGGATATAACCCACTCGACATAATATTAGCAGTTACCTCCTCAACCAACCCTTCCAAATTATTACCTCCATCGCTGGACCTGCCTCCAGCACCATGCATACCTGTGCTCTCACTAACGATGTTTTCGACAACCTCATCCAGCATACCTTCCACATCATTATCCAAGCTGTCGTCCTGATCAGCTCTATCTACCCCGGAAGTAACTGGCGCACTGCGAATATCGGAAACGAGAGAATCGTCAATGTGCTCAAGATGAGACCAAACGATGTCAGGGACTGATGTGACTGGGTCAATATCCCATGACGATATCAATGCCTCATCAATCTGCACCTCGCTATACAACGGGTCATTCTGCTTCTTCCAACGCAACGCCTCAATAACTTTGTGCCGTCGGACAGACATAAGCTTGCTGAGGTCAACAGCAGAAGGAACTGCTGGTCCACTCCAACAGACTCGAATTGATTCCATTATTTTGATCAGAGGATGAGGTAGGACTGTAGCAGTAAGACTTTCGACGTCGTTGATAAAAACAGTTATATGCCCTTTCTTGTGTTGACGAAAATGCCACGATGTTCCAGCGGTGGCGGGTCGACAGTACCTTGTAATATACCCATACGGTGTATTCAGACTGATCAGCCTTTCCTCGGCAATAGTAAGATCACTCAGTTCCCTTGGATGTAAATGGGTACATGTGATAAATCGAAGGTCCCCTCCACAGTTGAACGGTGGCTTGCCAGCTTGTATGCTCTGATAGCAGCTAGTACACACAATTGCGTCGCCAGGACTTTGATCGGCAGGGAAGCATTGGCGGCAGGCTAGTTTGGTTGAAAAGAACTCCTTAAGTGGTCGTGACATTTCGGCTTCCCATTGCAGCCTCTCCGTATCCTCTGGCGCTGTTTTCACCTGACAAGTCGCACATGTCACAGTACACATTGTCGTCTTGTCGTACATGGCTGTCAAGTATGACTTGACCGTATCTAATTTTAATTGCCGTGGGACCTCGTTGCACCAGTCGTTCCGATCAGATGCATCTTTCTCGTCGTCGAAGTCCTGACGAATTTTCTGTACTAGATTTGCAATAGCTTCAATCCTCGGTTGTATTAGAGGTTCTTGGGCGGATTGAAATAACGTATGCCACTCATCAGATGACATTCGGTCGATATTAGATGCAAGTTGATATGAATGGTGACGGGAGGCGATGGAAAAGGCCTGCCATGATGTTTGTAAAGTAGACAACGGCCGGCGGCTATATCTGATGGGGGCATCAGCGGCAGCTGTAGCAGTGCTGTTGTCATATGCAGCTTCCTCAGCTGCAGCTCTGTTTTCTGGAGAGTTACGCCAACTCTGCCCGTTCAACTGGACTCGCCAAGTGTTTGTCAACATCGTGATAACTAAAGAATTGTGCGTAAAACTTCGAAATGGTGTATTGATCAGAGATAACAGTGAAAAATGACATAACTTGCATATGAATAAACAAAGGGTTGCCAATTGGCCGAAACTATTTACCTACTACAAGTGGCTGCCGCAATATCCTAAAATAAATGCTTGGCGTCCTCGAACTGCCGAGTGGAGATAATGACGATCGAGCTGCCGACGAGCTGAACCCGAAACTAGCTGGTTTCTGTTACCCCAGCCGTAAGACCACCTCATGCATATCAAACTGAATCGGCAGCTGCGTTTATCTCGACAGGACGTACTCCCACTGGCCAACCTAAAATAATGCGGAATTCAAATACCACATCGCTGGATTACGCAGATCGCGACTGGTAGAACACATGGATTGATCAGTCGACTTTAAAACTTCCGGACGGTGTCAGACTGACTTTGAAACCTTATGCTTAGCAAGACGGAGTAAAGGAAAACAACAACCGAATCCGAATATTGCAACACGAATGATATCGTTCCAATCTGATCAGGACTGGTTACTTAGCCCTTTCCCACAAACGTTGTCACCCAACATCATCCTATATACTAATACCCAGTCACCAACACAACGGCCTTCAACAACTCATGATCAATGAAGAAATACACAAATCACATTGAATGTGACACCATCAGTATTCACTTATAACAATTCAACGACTACCTACACTGTCCTCACACTTGTTGCTCTTGATCATGGACGTCGTTACCCCATTGCCGAAATACGAGAAGCAAAACGCCCCAGGTGTTCTTGGGTCCAGCTTGGATGTCACGGTGATTGCAGAAATTATGGACGTCGAAACTGTCCTCCCAGACAACCAAGATGTCAACTACGGCAGCTTCTCTGCGACTATTCCGTTCTCCTTCTGCCCTCCGACCTTCATTGATCAACACTATATCCACCTGCTCTATGACAAGAGCCCAGGTGGCATGAATGTGAAGGTCATATGCTATTCCCCGTTTGACAGCGGGATGCCCAAGATCAATAACGAAGATGATCAATGGTTTCAAATAACGGGGTCCTTTATGCCGTACAGCTTTCCAGTACAGCGCGCTTCCCAGATCGGGCTTCCACCTGCGTCCATGCCACTCCTCCTACCTAAGGACAGGATGTTTCAGCCGTAAGTAAATAACCAACCACTCTCTTCCCTCTGATCAGAACTAACTTTAATATAGGATTGCACCTCGGGATGCATCACAACTCGATGAACTCAACGGGCAGGACGTGGAAAATTGCCCCATTCAGTCTCCAATCGCAAGCTTTTGTGGCCCTATCGACAAGACTATGTTCACAATAAAACCATCACCCCACTGGCCGATTGGACAACAAAACGGATACTGCTTTGTTCGCTTGAGCACATACATCCAAACACCAGCTACCGGTGCAAAAAATGCATTCTACTATATGCATCATGTCCTCGTCTTCTTTCCGCTTAGAGATGCTCCCTGGAAATATCGCTGTGCAAGCTGGAGCAAGAACAGTATGTTACATGATAGAGACTGGCTGTATGTCACTGGGCATATAGTTGGTACGCTTAATCCTGCACTCCTTACAACATCACCGCCCAACCACGATCAGATGCCTATTCCAGTCATTATTCCTCATATGTGGCATCACATTGGTAGGGATCAGCTGAACGGGCTTCCTCCACCACAATCTACTTCAACAGGAAGTGCAGCAAGTGTGACAACTCCATCGTCCCGGCGCATTAAATCGAGACGTTTCGATACGCCGTCTTCATCCCAAACCGCAAACCAACCAGGTACGTTCACTGATCAGCCACTTTTAAGCTTCCCCTAGTATTGACTCTAAGCTAAACTTCCAAATAGTTTCACCTTCGCCAGCGGCGCTATCAACGCCGCAAACACAACGACAAGTAACACCCGGCGCGACGGATAGTATTGGTAAACTACTAGTCTTACACTATGCTAATTTCTTTGAAATTACTTACTAAGAAAGCTAACCTTAATCTGATCGCAGATATACCATCATCACCCACAAATCAACTTGTTGCCGAGTCTTCACAACTCGAGGAGCAACAGGACGACATCTACAATGTATCAAATCCATCATCCTCAACTGCCCGAGCTAGTACTGCAACTATTCAAACTGGAAGGCGATCAAGGAAGGGGAAGGAACGAGCTGAGCCGAGTCCTGAACCGGAAAATTCAATACGGAAGAGACGTTACAAAGAGTAGCTTATGATAACTTGTTTCAGTAATATAGAATAGACTTCGTGAGACAAATACAATCGGGCTCATAGCTCAATCGGTAGAGCGTGAGACTGAGACTCTTAAGGTCGCGGGTTAGAACCCCGCTAAGTCCAACCTTTTTTTGCCCATTCTGCCAAATTCTTCAAGCCCATTTTTGAGCCACTTTAGTGGCGCTCGGGAATTCCTGTGAGCTTGCATTCCGCTTAAAAATGCACCAGGTTGGGTGGTGTGAGCCAAGAAATAAAGCGCTCTAATTGGCTGCAGCGCTGCTTAGTCACCCAAGGGCGTGCGAATCTCCGTTCTCTTGATATAAGCCACATGTGAGCGGAATATGCGGGTCAGATGGCACCAGACCTCCATCCCTCGGGCATTTGTTTCTATCGCCTCGCATCTCGGGTACTTCAAAAAGCCGTCTCCTGCTGTCAGCCCTCTTATTAGCGAACAAACAGTACCATGCGTCCGGTTCGACCATGCGTCCGGTTCGACCATGCGTCCGGTTCGACCATGCCTTGGCCTTGGCTGCGCTTCCGAGGTCCGCGTCCCTAGGTATGCAGTGAGCGGCCTACGTGTGGCGCGTGCCCGAGCGAAGCTGTGTGCCTGTAAGGTGGCCCTAGAACATGGCCATCAAACTCGTAGCACGGCTGTGACCATTCATGCCAATCGAGTTTTGTTCTCGAATAGGCTTTGCTGTCATGCCAGCACTGATGCGTGTGGAAGGTGATGTCTCTTCTCGTATGCGACAGGCATACGCCCTCAGATCGACCTCTGGATGCTAAGCTACACCTTGTGCCACACTGACCCAAACAATCGAAGGTTCGGCATGTGAGATGGACCTGTCTGCTGGGAGCAAGTGGTCTTGCCCTCGTGCTAGACTCAGGCCCAAACTCGTGACAAAGTGCTCAACTGGGAGCTCTTCCAGGCTAGGTCGCAGGCCTGCAGCTGTCGTGCCCAGCCCAGTCCAGGGCCCCGGGCGAACACGGCCTTGCTGGCGGATGACCAAGCTGGGCGGTTTGCATCCACTGAAGAACACAACTTGATGCAGGCAGACGAGGGGGTGGCATAGCTTCGTGCAGATCGCTGCCATCTGCGAGGTCGTGCCACAGGACTGGGCTTTGGGAGAGGGCAGGCGTGCAGTGCAAGTGCAGTAAGGAGTAATTGTGCCGCGGCGGCTCACACGCACACCCCGCCGTGTGGCGAGACCTCGATCGCCGCAGTCGCTGTTGCTCATCTCAACCACCCCTCGGTTCGCCTTTCTCTCCCAAGCCCAACGACCGACAGTCATCCCATGGCAAATTGATAAATGACGGCAGGCACGCGCAGTCGGCTTGCCCTGCCTGGCAAATAGCCCAATCAGCAGCCCGAACACACAGGCACACGCGCGGGCCGGCCTCGCTGCTGGTCTTGCCCCAGCAGCCTCCTCAACGGTCTTCATAGCCCGACCTCTGATGTGACCACTTCGCACCAACACCCAGATCTTGAAATGGCAGACACCGTCATTCTCGGCGCCGGCATCATCGGAGTGTCCATAGCATACTACCTCTCCAAGCACCAACCGGGCAGCACCATCCATCTCGTCGAACCCTCCCCGGAGCTCTTCGCCTCGGCATCCGGCTATGCAGGTGGTTTCCTAGCAAGGGACTGGTTCGGCACCGCCGTCGCCTCCTTGGCCGCCCTAAGCTTCGAGGAGCACAAGAGACTGGCAGAGCTTCACGACGGCGCCTCCAAATGGGGGTACTCTAGGAGCACCTCCCTCAGCTACACCGCTGCCTCCCAGATCCGCGGCAAGAAAAGTCAGAGGGGGGAGGACTGGCTACGCTACGGGACGAGCAGGGCCGACGCCGCGTCTGGCCTTGCGAGCGACGGCTTGGAGGCCCGGGGCGTGCTGCCACCGTGGCTGCGACGCGAGGACGGCGACACAGTACGGCCAATAGGCGATGACAGGACAACGGCCCAGGTTGACCCGTTCCAGTTGTGTCACTTCCTGCTCAAACAATCACCGTTTTCGACGCCACTGATGTGACGGAGGAGAAGGACGGGCACGCATCTTCGTGGCTAAAAATGGATGTGCCGTCGTCGTCAAACATGGACTGGCGTTCAAAGAGTTTGTCGGAGTCGGACTCATTTGGATAATGGGGCATGCCTCCCGACGTCTGTGGGCGGGCTATAGAAGACGATCTTGTCGTGGGGGGCCGTTTCCCTGTGCTACGCGACTTCCATGACCGAGAGCTGCGTAAAGACGGAGCGCCCGTAGAGGTGCTAGGGCGTTGCTGCCGGACTGGGAACTGAGCCTCCCTATCCTCTCTATAGACAATGGGGACAGAGTACGAGGTCAACCGAGAGCTAGTTTTGCTGTCATGGGTGCGGTTGGGTGCCCTGCTGCTGGTGGTCGGGCGCTGCACCTCCGGCCGCGGCTCCGTCTCCTCAGCAAATGTGGCAGAAAAGGAATGGGCTCTGGACTGGTGGGACTTCCGAGACGGTGGCTGCTGCTTGTCGTTGTTTCTTCCAAGGAGAGAAAATCTTTTGAGCATTGCCTTGAACCAGGAGCCTTCTTCAAAGGCGGACTTCGAGCTGGCCGTTGTGTTGGCACGCGATGTGACCCCGTGGGTAATTGGAGGCAAAGCTGGGGTGCGATTGTATGAGTAGTATGGAATATTCTGGGCATCCGCGGTATACGCGACGTCGATGCGTTGTGGCATGTACTCTGCGTTTCTGGCGTGGAAGACTTTGGTGCCGTACCTAAGCATTGCAGTGCGTTAGTCCCACACTGGGCCAAGACGAAGGACCCGACAGTTGACTGCCTTCAACCTACCCATTGCGTATATCAAACACAGGCGCTTCTGACATCTGGTTCTTGTTCGCAGCCTTGGCTCTGGCGGACGGATCCCACGTAGTGACGAGCCAACTCCTACACTCTCAAATCCTCTCGACAGCCCAAATTCTTGTACCCATCCTGTCCCAATCACCGCTCAGATTATACAATACTCCCTCCCCCCAAACTGGCTGGAACTCCCGTCCTGTGCACTGCGCGGCGGATCGGGAAATAGACCGCTGCCACGGAGCACGCGACGACCGAGGCGCCCTCCGAGAGTGTACACACTTCTCCAGCCATGGCCCCTCCGAAACTTCCCCAGCCAAACGATGCGGGCCAGGTCGCAAACGGTGGCAACGACTTTGGTTCGTCAGTGGTTATGTCTGGACGCGCAGCGGTACAGTCGTCAGCTTCTGTGGAAGGCCGTTCCAGGAAGAGGAGACGTGTCAATGTCACGAGAAGGGCGTCTCCGCCGTGCCTTACGCCTCAAGAAAGACGATAAGCTGTTTCTTGACGGCCCTCACGGGCAGGACCCCCAGCTGAGACAGTACGAGATCGTGGTGCGCGTTGCCAAAGGCCTCGGGATCGCTGGTGTCCTTTCGGCGGCTCTCAGCCTCGTCGAGCGCCGTCAGCATGACTTGAAGGCCAAGGATCAAGCGCCCAGAGATCCGAATACCCGCCTTTTTCGAGACCGGAGGAGGCATGGGCTGCTTCGAAGTATCTGTAGGCCTTTGAGGCCGGCCCCGTTGCCTTCCGTAAACAAATGGCCCAAAGTGTTGAATTAGCTGGGCAGAGAGGGTCCTCCGCCATTCGTATTGTGAATATATACCCGGAGCAGTGTGTATGGATTCTTACACGGTTAAGCGCGGGTGTTCGCAACCGTGTGCCCCACCACTGCAACGTGCTTGTGTAAATCCAGTGCCTCCCTATACCGGGAAACCCCGAAAGCCGGGCTCATCGTAAAGACGACTTCAAGCCATCGACCTGAGCTCTGTGAAGGCACACGGCATTCTCTTCATCAGAAATATTAAAGGCTTTGCATTTTCTCGAGCAGCTAGCAAGAAGAGTCGGCTCACAGGTTGCAAGAGGTGCGCAGATCTTGATCATTATCTAGTGCGTTTGTTTATGGGCTTCCCGTCTTTATCAACCGGGGTACATTTATCACATCTTTCCAACCCACAATTCCTGTTCCTGTTGTCGCACTTTTCACTTGCTGGAGAATTTTTGTGCCAACACTACGCAACTATTAGCTTTTGTCCGTGTAGAAGTATGGTGACACCTACAGAGCAGCAAATCCACCACGGTTCCGTGGAGGATGACATTGGTCAATCGACGTCGTGTAGAAGGGTAATAGCGATAGTGCAAAACATGAATTTGATTATGTTTGCTAACCTATTATAAGCAAGAACAGAGAGATCGATGGATTTCGCAGTATAACGATGAGCGTGAGAGGGCATAATGGGGTAAAGGACGGGGCAGAGCTTTTAAAGCGCGGTGCTCCAACTGGTGTGACGGCAGCCACGGTCAAGCAAGCCCTGGCCGTCACAAGGCCCTAACCCTGAGCCCCACAGTCGCGTCAAGACTTTTACGCAGTCCAGGGATCGCATGAGCTTCGCTCTCCCTTTTTCCTTCTTTCTCTTTAGCTTAGAATATTCGTTGATAGCGCCAATAGACCCAGCTCCCATGCTGCATCTCGTGCTGGCCGTGACAACTGGCAGGGGTACATATTTCCTTCCCCACCACTGCAGAAGCATATACTCCTTCCATCCCGCGCTTCCATTTAGGACTAATCTTCACAATCTTCCCAGCGATACCCAGCTGATACCAAATGTCAGAGGTCGTGGTCACGGGCAGAGTGGCAGGGCCAGATTGGGGGGGGGGGAGGGAAATCCATTGATGCCTAAGGAAGAAATCTCCTCAACTAAGCCACTGCATACCCGCTATTCTGATGAGTCAGCTCCCTTACGTGCCAAGCCATCCCCTTACTATGTTAATCCCTGACACACATCATCATCGAATAAGTGTAGGATGTGATTCAGGGGTTACTGATCTAAACATGACATCGGGCCCCTGAGGATAGCCCAAAAAAATTGAGTTCAATGATAGTCTGGTTCGGACGTGGTGTGTCTTGCCAACGAAGAGTGGCCTGGAACTTAGGAACCAAGAACTCATTGACCTCGAGCTGGCGCGGGCAGACGGGTACTTCTGGCAAACATTGTACTTTACGCATAAAATTGGACATATAACACGGTATGTTTGATATGCATTTCATAATCACTGGCTTCTGATCTTACCTTCGCCGAA